AAATCTTTTGAAAAGATGCTCAAATTCCTAAAGGTTAGAAAAAAAAATCCTTGGATCAGCAGATCATAATCATCTGTGGCACCACTTACCAGGCTAAAATCTAAACTATGCAACATGTGACTAAAGAGCATGTGGCTTTCCCAGTGCTATCACACTGGTGGGGTACTTGGCAGTACATACCCAACAAGTCAGGCAACCACACAGACTACTTCATTCCTATTCTGCAGAAGACAATAGCAAACACATCAAAAGAGATCAGATTATGATTTATATCGTAAGACACAAGGTTTTTATTAATAAAACTGTTTCCTCAGAGTTAAGTTCCATTAACTGTACTTAAGAGAGAATTATTACACATCTTGCTCCCAGGCAAAACCTGACCATTCCACATGTGTTACAAATCAGTATCTCTTTACATTTATTGGTGTGCAGACGAAAGTCAAGGATTTCTTTTCAGATTCTGGCAAGTCAGGAATCTTTCATGTTTGAGGAATCACATTGCTATCAATCTATTTCTGTCTTAAACTTATGAATTTTCATACCACATAACTAATAGATACATTTTTATATTAATCACATTTCTCCATCTTGAAATGGAGAAGCTTAGGTGGCATCATGTTTAGGCAAGAGAACTGTGAGATAAAAGATATTGTAAGGAAGACTTTAAAGTCCTTTCCATTCTGCATGAGGTTTCCCCCCTTCTTTCCCCTGCATATTTTTTTAATCTTGAAAGTATTTCCTACTAATGCATGAAACCCCCATTATGCTGCATATGGTTTCTATTATCAAGTCTATAATGCTTTCAGGAATTTCTTTGATTTCTCTGGTTTTTACCTCATTCTTTTCATTCTTGATTGACATAGAAGCAGCAACCCAAGTCATTCCTGTGTATCTTTCTTTAGTTATAAATCAGTCTCCATACTTCTCTAGCATACCTCAAAATGGCTTGCCTTTACTACCCTTGTATGAAGAAAGGAAAGGCCTTGAATATTGGTTATTATACTCTTCATTATGTATTTGAAGATCATCCAGTGTTCTTATTTGAAGAACTAGATTTTACCCATTAAATTTATTTTGCAGCCATGGACACTACACTTAAACCTGCACACCCAATTCAAGACCTGGGATTTGTGCACAAACATGTACAAAAAACTGCAGAATACTCTTCATAGAGATAGGACCAAAAAAAAAAAAAAACCCCAAAAAAAAAACCACCACCAAACAAAAGCCCTCCAAAATTCTTGCTTTCAAAACCAGTAAATTAGTGCAAGACCAGCTTTCATGGCAGATTTCCAAATAATTACTAACTCAATGGTAGATGAGAGTCTAAAAATGCAACCACACAGAACTCACCCAAGATTTCATGGGAAGGCCTGTTTCTACCCTGCAAGCAGCTTTTTGTTCCTGCCCTGCTCGGTGTGTGCCATTGGGCCATGGGTGGGTGCCGGCACAAGGGAAGAATTTACCATTGTTCAGACGGAAGCCGTCGTGTACGCGGGAGGTTCTGCTGAAGGACTTCATGGATCACTGCATGGGCCAAAGCTACCAGTGGAACACAGCACAAACAGAAGCAGCTTCACTTGAAAAACACAATTTATTCCGAAGACTTGATTTTGAAAGAACAAAACACAAATACTTGAGGACTGGAGACAACTCTAGACACGGCTCAGAAATTGTGGAGGTTTTATGGTAAAAAAATGGTCTGTAGTCTTAGGGTAAGGATATGCACCTCCCACCAAAGACATTCCACTTTCTGAAATAAATCAACCTTGTATCACCATGTTGCTTCAGAGAGTGTTACATCTCAAATGCAATGATGTATGGAAGAGGGCGAGGGGTGGGGGGGAGAGAAAAAAAATTCACCGGATCATTGCTTCAGGCCATAACTTGAACAGTGATTTTACCATTTTTACCCTTTTCATGTTGATTTTAACTGGGTATGATACACTCAGAGGTTCAAATGAGCAGAAAAAACTGCTGCATGATTGCATTTTGGCAGCTACGTACAACTTCCCTGTATTACACAATCAGCTATTTCATACGTGAAGCATACAAGAATAGACAGAGCCATGAATTTCCCAACATTTTGTGTTTATTCTGACCACAGATCAGAGTTGGTGCTCCCTGGCTAAACTGAAAATGCTGGACAAAAAGAAAATATCCATTGCATACAATCCACTACCAAGGGAGATCACAAAACAAAGCTTCTCCCTCAAATGAAGTTCTGTGAGACAATGAGTCGACAGCAACTGTGAAAAAGCTTCAGCCATGTCCTTGATTCTTCTTATTCCCCCATACCTAAAGGTTGCCCAGAATTCTCAGGAACACCCTGAATACAAAAGGATTGTGTGGGACAAGGTATCTCCCCTGGAGAGAGCAGTAGCAGCAGATGCTGCATCGTCCTTCAGCATGGCACTCCCACTCCAGACTCTCCCTGGCTTAATGGGGAACATTACAGGAAAAAAGCCCTCAGTGTTTGAAGCCTGGCCACCAGTTTAGGTGGTGCCTGGCAAGCATCTGGCAAGCAGAGAGGGGACATTTGGACATATTTTAGGGCTCTGATGGCTTCTTCAGAAGAGATCTTAATTGGAAACACTGGAAATACCAAGTAATTGCTATGCAAGGAGCCTTGGGGTGTATGTTTTCTAGTGAATGTTCATCACCCTCGAGGGGAAGCAATAAAATCCATTGCCATCGCCTGTTTAGCAGCCCACTGGCAATATTCTTTTGTCAGCTTTAACTCCAGCCTGAATAACACACCAGTTGTCTTCGGTTCAGAAACTGTCATTAGCTTACAAAATCATACATTTCAAACAGGCTTAAGCATGCTCCCCCTAAAGAGAGATATATATCCGAATTTTGGACAAGAGTTGGGAAAGAAGAGCGGCGAAGAAAGAACACGCACCAACGCCAGCATCGAGAAGAAAGAACACGCACCAACGCCAGCATCGAGACGCAACAATTCGAACAAAAGAGATCTCAAGATGTCGCGCTAACACGCACGCACACAATCTTCCTCTTGATAGATTGCTTCCCCTCGGCAGAGGGAGATGCTCCAGGAGCGCGCCCGCCCGGGCACGCAGAGCACGCGTGTGTCTCCCAGACGGAGCCGGGCAGGGAGCGCATCCCTGCGGCGTGCCTGCTCCGCGGCGCTTCCTACTGCGGCACGTCCGCGCCTCCCGCCTCGCCCTCTCCGCTCAAAGCCACCCACGAACGACCCCGGGCTGCTGCACAGGGACCCCCTGTCCCGTCTCCTGCCCCCCAAGGCCGCTGAGAGGAGCGGGGGCGGGTGTTGGAGCCCGGAGCGGGGAGCTCTGGGGGCACCCGCGGCCGCCCGCCCGCCGAATCCCGCTGCGGGCGGGGCGGGGGCGGGCGGCACGGGCGGCCTTTTCCCCTTCCTAAACGCCAAATTTTGTGTGGGTGAGCTGAGGGGGGGCACGGGTCCGCTCCGCCATCGCGCACAGTAACAGACGGCAAAGAAAAAAAAAAAAAAGCCTGGCGCAGCGAGAGGAAGGAAGGGTGCCGGGGTACGGCGGGGTGACCCCGATGAACCCCGCCGGGGCGGGGGCAGCGCCCGGGGTCGCGGCGCAGCGCGGAGCCTTTGTTCCGCCGCGGCCCCTCCGCGCCGCCGCCTCCGCGCATGCGTCGGGCACAGACAAAGGCGCGGGCAGGGCGGCGGGGGCTTCCCGCATCCCTCCTCCAGCCCGCATCCCTCCTCCAGCCCGCATCGCCCTCCGCCCCGCATCCCCTCGCCGCCCCGCATCCCCGCTCCACTCCGCATCTCCCCGTCGCCCCGCATCCCCTCTCCCGCCCCATCCCCCCGCGCGGCGCCCACCCGGCGTGGCAGGAGGGTGGGGGTGTCCCGGGGGTGTGCGTGTGGCCGCCTCCCTCTCCCCCGCCCGAGCGCCACGCCCAGCTGAGGCGCGGGGAAAGCGCCCTGCGGGAGCCGCGTTTGAAAGGCACGCGTGTGCGTGGGGAAGGGGCGACACGGCGGGTCGGGAGGGGAAGGAATAAAAAGAAAAAAAAAGGTCGAGGGGAGCTGTAGCTTTCTGTGTTGGAGGGAAAACGGAAAGCCAGAGAGGTTGATGGGGACCTGTGGGGAGCGGGGGGCGGCAGTCGGTGAATATTGATAGCACAGGCGCGCCGGGGCGGCAGCGGCGGTCCCTGTCGTGTTTGACGGCGGGTCCGCAGCCCCTGCTCGGGCAGCCGAGCCCCGAGCCCGGCGTGTGCTGCCCCGCCGGGAGCAGCGCTCCAAACCCGCCGGCGCGGCCACGCGCGCGCGTGACCGCGGAGGCAGCGCCGCTCCCGCGCCGCCTCGCCGGGGACAATCGCCTTGTCGCCGGCCACAATGGGCGAGCGCCGCTTCCCGCTCCTAGCCCGCCCCGACGCCCCCCGCACCCCGCGGGTCCCCCCCAGCGGCCGCCCGGTCCCCGCGGTCCCCCTGCAGCACCGCCGCCCCCCGCCCAGCCGCCCTGCCATCTTCCTGGCGCCGTGCGTGCTCTTCTCCCAGCGCTTCCTTTCATGGAGAGCTTGGGGCATCTTCCTTTTTTCTTTTTTTTTTTCTTTTTTTTTTTTCTCTTTTTATTTTAAATTATTGTTAATTAAGCAGACTCCCTTTGGAAACAGGCTAAAAGCACCGAAAATAAATCGGGCATAAACCAGTATTATTCCCACCACACCCACCGCTACCCCCACCCTTCCCCAGGAGAGCCTTCCCGGGCATTTAAACCTCACGGAATCGCCTTCGGTCCGTTGTGTGCCTCGATCCCGCTCCCAGGTGGTCCCCTCTCGAGGAATCGAGATCCTCGCAGCGATATTCCTAAAATGTGCCCGGGCAGGCGCCTCCCGGGCTGCTCCGCTCTCTCCGCTCCTACCAATTCACACGCTCATCCCCTCTCCCCACAATCGAGACACAACGGAAAGGGGGAAAATGATAAAAATGGCAAAAGCTCTCGCGGGCTGCTGTGTGAATGGCACAAGTGAGACACACCGCGTCTTACCTTTACGTGTCTTTCCTCTGTCCCTGTCGGTGTGTTTGTGTGCTGGGGTGTCACAAAGAGAGTCCCAGGTAGCCCAGAGCCCCCTCGCCTCGCTCGGAGCGCTGTGGCTCTCGCCCGCTCGCTCGCTGGGACTGGAGTGCCTAGTGCCTGCTGGAGCACTGCCGCCGCTACCGCGGCTGCTGCCTCTGCATTTCTCACTCTCTCCCCCTCCCTCTTTCCCTCCCTCCCCCCTTCCCTGTGACAGTCTGTGGGCAGTTCAAAAGCCACACGCTTTATTTATTTATTTTCCGGGCTGGCGGGCGGGGGATGCGCTGCGCGGCGCTGGCGCTTAGGGGGCGCACGGAGCCCAGGTTTAAATATCAGCCGTGCCGGCTGCGGGGGGGGCTCCATCGCGGCTCCGCGATCGCACCTTGCAGCATTACACCCCCACACCCCTCAAAAAAAAAAAACAAAAAAAGGGAAGGGAGCGGCCAACCTCCCTGCCCCGAGGAGAGCGGGCGCGGCGCGGCGAGGTGCGGGGCGCTCCGCGACCCTCCGCGCCCGAACCGCAGCGGGCGCGACTGTGCACCATGGGGCGGACCCGGCGGAGCTGGGATGCTGCGCGCCGGAGGGAGCGGGCAAGCCTGCCTACACCTGCAGCCCGCTCGGGGAGAGGGACAGCCGCTTGCACGGCGGAGAGGGGCGGCACGGGCGGAGGAGACTAAAAATTCCCGGTCCTGGATGCTCTCGGTACGCTTAAGGAGAGGGTCTGCCGGTTAAACACAATAGGCAGCAAAATAGAGGAAAGCAACACATTTCTCAGGAGAATGGATCTCTCTCGGGCGCTCCTGCAGCTGAAGAGCTGGCCTGAACGTCGCTGGGGCTTCAGGACTGGTATCCCTCCAGATCTCCCCCTATTCCAAAGCATCCCTGAGGCCGCCACAGCCCCACCGAGGGTGCTGCCCTCACTTTCCCACCGCCCTGGTTTTGCAGCCTGGCTGTGGCGGGGGCCGGGCGCGCCCTGCTCGTGGCTCCGCGCCCGCGGCACGCTGCGGGAGCCCGGCGGCGGCGGGCGATGCGCGGGGCTGGGCCGGGCCGGGCCGGGCCGGGCGCTGCCTCCGCCCGGTGACCGGCCCCGGGACCCGCAGCCCGGGAAGGACGGAGCTGCTGGGAACGGACCGCGGTGGCGGCACGTCCTGGGGGAACCTCTGGCTCAAGGGGCGCGGTCCGGCTGCGCCGGGGCTTCAAAGCCAGCAGCACCATCTTTCAGCAAGAACAATGGAAGCCTTTTCCCATCTATCTGGGGACAAGGACCGAGTGAGAGACGCGTGGTAGGCTCGTGATAAGGTTTAGTCCGGTTTGCATTTTCGACGGATAATGGATCGAAAGGGGAGCAGGGCATGTGGAGAAGGAGGGCGTGGCCGCCAGGGTGTTCTTCTGATGGCCGTGGTTTGCAGTGTGATGTGCGGTGTCACGCTTCCCCGACATTCCCACGAAGGAAAACTATCGGGCAATAAAATGCATTTGAGTTTGTGTTTCAGACACCGCACCCTGCAACCTGTAGCTGTGCTGAGCATCCATCCACCCATCCGCTGCCGGGGCGGGGGGCCGGTCCGAAACGCCAGAGGAAAGGCTCAGGGACGACCTGGCAGCGCTGCGGGAGCCCCCGCTGTCCCACCGCAGTCACACAAAAGCCCTGGGCATAGGGAGGAAGGGAGGAAAGGAGAAGCATGGACACGGCGGATTCACCGGGAAGGGACAATTCCTTATATTTTCATGAAAGCGTTGGCAAGCCAGTCTTTTCCTCATATTTTTATTTTACGGGGTTTTACTTTCCTAGTTCTGCTTCGTGTCTCCGCGTTTTCCTGGAGGTTTAACCCTCGCTCTGCAGCCGCCGGGGCGCAGAGCTCTCCATGCCACACCTGCCCCGATGCAGCATCCCACCTTCCCGAGGCGCGGTGCGGACTGGCTGCGCCCTGCCGCAGCTGGGGGAGGGAAGGAGGGAGAGAGGGAGGGAGGGAGGGCTCCGCCCGCCCTTCCCCCCGCGCTGCCGGCCGCGATATCACTGCGCTCACGATACCGGGCTCGGGGGGGCGGCTGCACAGCACGGGTGAGGCATGCGGCAGTCAGCGTTAAATTGGGTAATCGAGGAAAGAGAAGAAAGGGAGGGGGACACGCCCTGACACGTCGCAGAAGGAGGTAGCTGCTCCCCACGGAGGCGAGGCGCGTCCCGCCCCCGCGCTGCCTCTGTGCAGCCCGCGGGAGCGGGGTCCGCCCGCCCGCTTTCCCGGGAGCATCCCTGTGGAGGCAGCGCTAACGCCGGCGCCTGCCCGGCGGTGGCGTGCTGCAAGGTCAAGGGAGAAAATCCCTCTCCTCAGTTTTATTTCTGAGCCAGGAGTATTTGTGAGGCAGGGCTGGCGAGAAGTGAGAGGGAAGATGAGTCCAAAATCTAGCCATGGAGTAAAGCAGAGGCGTGCAGAACACAGCAGCATGAGCGTAGAACGGCTCGGTGAGGGGCTGAGGGCCTGGGCTGGGCTGAAATCAGCCCTGAACCGTGGGCAGGGCTCAGGAGGAGCCCCAGGTTATGCTGGGCTGGGACCATCAAGGCTAGCCGTGCCCATGAGGCCATGACTGTCGAGATTGTCTTGTAAAATTGCCCAACCACCACACAATTAGTGTGAAGCAATATTAGAGGGAAAGAAAGAGGCTGTTATTTAAGCTTGTGTTTAAACATGGGCTCAGGCAATGAATGCTCACCTGTATGAAATCGAGCACTATCAGACTTTGCAGCTGAATTACAACTTACACAGGGTTCACAATATATCTCAGAAATAAAAGTGTGTTCTGTCATTTTCTTGGAAAAGCCTGTACAACTAAAAATGGCACAGAAATAATCATTGCTGCTCTCAGTTTGTGAGGTGTTTTGATCCTTTTACTGTTTTCAGCAGCTAGAGGGCTGAGATGGTAACCATAGTTTACCAGCTAGTATTCTTGTAAATACACCTACATGCTAAATTATGTATCTCAGGACTGCCAAATTCAAAATTTGTCAAATGCTCATTTCAGTTACTCAGCTACATCAAGGTAAGATACATATCTGAACGTCTTGTTTAATAAAAGTGATACTTTTAGGCTAATGTAAAACAGCCTTTGTCCTAACTAAGGGTGTATAAGATATCCTCTCCTTTTTCTTTTGAAATGAAAAAATGGTAGCTGGAGGAAGAAAAAGTGCAGAACAGAGACACCTGCAAAAAGATGAATAACCAGGTCTGTTGTGGAAAGGCAAGTCTAGGCCCTTTTGTGTAATTAACAGCTGCTTTTCTGAAATCTACACAGTCACTCTGCTTTGACAAATACCCGAGCTATCTCAATTTTCTTAGCCAGCTCTTCCTATCACCTCTTGCCACTTAGTGTACCTCAGTGTTCTTCCCTCCAGCTTCAATATTTCAGGCCCAGCCTTGTTCAGCCCTGTCTCTCTTATGGGTGTCACCTGCTGTCATATTTCCATCTTTTCCAGAAGGAAACAAATGCAATCCTAGATACTCTTTCCTCATACTTAATTTTTACTATTTGTTCTTCTGATTAATAAATCAAGTCTTTGTTCTGTCATTATACTAGGTCTGACAAGAGCCACAAGCCACGTCTCTTAGCCCAGCATGTCCACAACACAAGTCCAAAATAATCACAAGCCCACCTCTCATCTCCTTCCATTTCTCTGCCTGTGTCCCTGTCATCCAGAATTCCATTTTTGTGTCTGAGCACTGGACGTTTTCCTCAGAAGAAGCTAGGATCAGTAAGGAGTACCTATACTGGGGTAGCAGGGGAACTTTCCATTTTATTCCATAGGAAGAGAGAGATGACCAGCGAACAAGGGAAAAACAAACCAAAAACAAGTGAAAACCCTCACCTGTGCCCCTCTTCCAGCCTTGCAAATGAAACACTGCCTTCCTCGCACTTACAATCACAACCAAACAGAAGCAAATCCAGGCTTCTCGCAGCTCAGAGCGCTTCCCAAACCTGCCAGCTCCGGCTGCAGCTGCAGGAACGGCCGCACCCCCCCCGCCCAGCCTCCAGCCGCTGCCCTGTGCTCTCCTATTCCCGAGTTTACACCACCAGAGGGAGCATTTTGTTCAGTTTTTTGGCAGATCCTGGTTTTCCCGGTATCCAGGCGAAGAGAACAGCCGCAGTTTCCCGTATGTAGTGATTTTCCCAAGCCCCATTTACCCCATAAGCATTTTCGTAATAATGGGGTTTTTTTCTTTCACCATGCTAAGCAAATTTTAAGTGTTTCTTAAGATTATTATTAATGTAAAGTAAATTTTATAATTAATATCTAAACTGTAATTGCAGTTAAAATCCTTGTTATTCTCTTGGTTATAGAGTCATTTATTCTGGGGCAAATGCAAGATGCTGGTGTAAGACATATCTAAAATTTTCTATCTGCTGTTGATATCATCTCTCCTACAGAACTACGAGCTACATGAATTTCAAAAATTGACTGCAATGGTATAGGCAGACACAAGGTATTATTTCAGAAATTTGCAGGCAAAGCACATAAAATAAAGAGCTTTGATCAAATCCCAAAATAACAACTTTGATAAATCACTACTGGAACACCTCAATCCAAATTTAAGTCCTGACATAGAGACAGATGCAAGCTTCTGATTACAATTTTAATCCAGACAGCCCAAAATTTTATGGTAGTAGGTGTATCTGAGTCTAGTTTTACAAGACTGGTTCTGTTTATACCATAAGTGGCACTTTGTGCCTACAGCCTACAGGTAGGGATATGTGGGTTGTGAACCCTGCTTTACCCCAACGTTTCTGGCTTCAGCTCAATCTGTAACACAAAGCATATGTGCCTCCCAGGAGGTCCTGCACTAGCCATCGATTTTAAAAGGCTTCTCTGCTCCACTGAAGTCTGCATGCAAGTTTTGCCAAAGATGGATATATTTGCTGTTCTGACAGTACAATTATCTGGGTTATTTCTGTCTCTTACCCCACTTACTCTAAAGAGTTAGAGTTACTTATGTGCAAAAAGAAGCAAATGTGTTCAACTACCATGAGCTTCCCTTATGATTTATTCATGCCAGGCTTCTCCATGACCATCTATAGGTTAGATCTCTTACTCTTTGCTCCATTTTCACTGGCAAGTTTCACTGAAGAAATAGATGAATAAGGTATTCATTGTTTGGCTTCTATGGCCACAAAAATGT